AATATCACTTATTTCGTAGAAAACCCTGTGTTTCCCCTTCAATATCGCTTATTTTCAAATAAATCCCTGTTTTTCCCCTGAAATATCGCTTATTTTCATAGAAATCCCTGTTTTTCCCATTCAAATATCGTTTATTTTCATAGAAATCCCTATTTTTAACCCCAAAATATCGCTTATTTTCATAGAAATCCCTGTTTTTAACCCTAAAATATATAGGTTATTTTCATAGAAATCCCTGTTTTTAATCCTAAAATATCGATTATTCTCATGGAATTCCTTGTTTTTAATCCTAAAAAATCACTTATTTTCATGCAAATCCCTGGTTTTCCCCTAAAATATCGCTTATTCTCATAGAATTCCCTGTTGTTAACCCTAAAATATCACTTATTTTCATGGAAATCCCTCTTTTTCCCCTTCAATATGACTAATTTTCATAGAAATCCCTGTTTTTCCCATTCAATATCGCTTATTTTCACAGAAATCCCTGTTTTCCTCTTCAACATCGCTTATCTTGAATGAAATCGCTGTTTTTCACCTCAAACATCACTTATTTCCAAGAAATCCATGTTTTTCCCGTGAAATATCGCTTATTTTCACAGAAATCCCTGTTTTTCCCCTGAAATATTGCTTATTTTCATAGAAATCCCTGTTGTTAACCCTAAAATATCGCTTATTTTCATGGAAATCCCTGTTTTTCCCCTAAAATATCGCTTATTTTCATAGAAATCCCTGTTTTTCCCCTTCAACATCGCTTATTTCTGATAGAAATCCCTGTTTTTAAACTAAAATATCACTTATTTCATAGAAAACCCTGTGTTTCCCCTTCAATATCGCGTATTTTCACAGAAATCTCTGTTTTTAACCATAAATAATGCTTATTTTCACAGAAATCCCTGTTTTTCCCATTAAATATTGCCTATTTTCATAGAAATCCCTGTATTTCCCCTTAAAAAATATTGATTATTTTCATAGAATTCCTATTTTTTAACCAAAAATATCTCTTATTTTCATAGAAATCCCTGTTGTTACCTTGAAAAATCGCTTATTTTCATGGAAAACCCTCTTTCTAACCCCAAAATATCGCTTATTTTCATGGAAATCCCTGTTTTTCCCCTAAAATATCGCTTATTTTCATAGAAATCCCTGTTTTTAACCCTAAAATATCACTTATTTTCATAGAAATCCCTGCTTTTAACCTAAAATATCGCTTATTTTCACAGAAATCCCCGTTTTTCCCCTTAAATATCGCTTATTTTCATAGAAATCCCTGTTTTCAACCTAAAATATCGCTTATTTTCATAGAAATCCCTGTTTTTAACCATTAAATATCGCTTATTTTTACAGAAATCCCTGATTTTAACCCCAAAATATCGCTTATTTTCATAGAAATCCCTGTTTTTCCCCTTCAACATAACTTATTTTCATAGAAATCCCTGTTTTTCCCCTTAAATACCGCTTATTTTCATAGAAATCCCTGCTTTTAACATTAAAATATCGCTTATTTTCACATAAATCCCTGTTTTTCCCCTGAAATATCGCTTATTTTCATAGAAATCCCTGTTTTCCCCTTCAACATCGCTTATTTTCACAGAAATCCCTGTTTTTATCCTCAAACATAGCTTATATCCAAGGAATCCCCATTATTAACCATAACATATCGCTTATTTTTATAGAAATCCCTGTTTTTCCCCTTAAATATCACTTATTTTCATGGAAATCCCTGTTTTTCCCCTAAAATATCGCTTATTTTCATAGAAATCCCTGTTTTTAACCCTAAAATATCGCTTATTTACATAGAAATCCTTGTTTTTAACCCTAAATATAGCTTATTTTCACAGAAATCCCTGTTTTTCCCCTTAAATATCACTTATTTTCACAGAAATCCCTGATTTTAACCCCAAAATATCACTTGTTTTCATAGATATCCCTGTTTTTCCCTTCAACATCACTTACTTTCATGGAAATCCCTGTTTTTCCCCTTAAATACTGCTTATTTTCATAGAAATCCCTGTTTTTCCCCTAAAATATCGCTGATTTTCATAGAAATCCCTGGTTTTAACCTAAAATATCGCTTAGTTTCATGGAAATCCCTGTTTTTCCCCCTCAACATCGCTTATCTTGAAAGAAATCCCTGTTTTTAACTTCAAACATCACTTATTTCCAAGAAATCCATGTTTTTAAGCTTAAATATCGCTTATTTCCACAGAAATCCCTGTTTATACCCTTAAATATCGCTTATTTTGATAGAAATCCCTGTTTTTAAACTAAAGTATCACTTATTTCATAGAAAACCCTGTGTTTCCCCTTCAATATCGCGTATTTTCACAGAAATCTCTGTTTTTAACCATAAAATAATGCTCATTTTCACAGAAATCCCTGTTTTTCCCCTTCAACATCACTTATTTTCATAGAAATCCCTGTTTTTAACCATTAAATATCGCTGATTTTCATAGAAATCCCTGATTTTAACCATAAAATATCGCTTATTTTCATAGAAATCCCTGTTTTTCCCTAAAATATCGCTTATTTTCACAGAAATCCCTGATTTTAACCCCAAAATATCCCTTATTTTCATAGAAATCCCTGATCTTAACCTAAAATATCGCTTAGTTTCATGGAAATTTCTGATTTTCCCCTTCAACATCGCTTATTTTGATAGAAATCCCTGTTTTTAACCTCAAACATCACTTATTTTCATAGAAAACCCTGTTTCTCAAATAAAACACCGCTTATTTTCACAGAAATCCATGTTTTTCCCATTAAATATCACTGATTTTCATAGAAATCCCTGTTTTTCCCTTCAACATCGCTTATCTTGAAAGAAATCCCTGTTTTTAACTTCAAACATCACTTATTTCCAAGAAATCCATGTTTTTAACCTTAAATATCGCTGATTTTCACAGAAATCCCTGTTTTTCCCCTGAAATATCGCTTATTTTCATAGAAATCCCTGTTTTTCCCTTCAACATCGCTTATTTTGATAGAAATCCCTGTTTTTAAACTAAAATATCACTTATTTCATAGAAAACCCTGTGTTTCCCCTTCAATATCGCGTATTTTCATAGAAATCTCTGTTTTTAACCATAAAATAATGCTTATTTTCACAGAAATCCCTGTTTTTCCCCTTCAACATCGCTTATTTTCATAGAAATCCCTGTTTTTAATCCTAAATATCGCTTATTTTCCAACAAATTTTGTTTTTAACCCTGAAATGTCACTTATTTTCATAGAAATCCCTGTTTTTCCCCTGAAATATCGCTGATTTTCATCGAAATCCCTGTTTTTAACCCTAAAATATCGCTTATTTTCATAGAAATCCCAGTTTTTCCCACTACATCACTTATTGTCATGGAAATCCTTGTTTTTCCCCTTAAATACTGCTTATTTTCATAGAAATCCCTGTTTTTAACACCAAAATATGGCTTATTTTCACAGAAATCCATGTTTTTAACCTCAAACATCACTTATTTTCATAGAAATCCCTGTTTTTCCCTTCAACATCGCTTATCCTGAAAGAAATCCCTGTTTTTAACTTCAAATATCACTTATTTCCAAGAAATCCCTGTTTTTAACCTTAAATATCGCTGATTTTCACAGAAATCCCTGTTTTTCCCCTGAAATATCGCTTATTTTCACAGAAATCCCTGTTTTTCCCCTAAAATATCGCTTATTTTCACAGAAATCCCTGTTTTTAACCTCAAACATAGCTTATTTCCAAGGAATCCCCATTATTAACCCTAACTTATCGCTTCTTTTTGTAGAAATCCCTGTTTTTCCCCTTAAAAATCGCTTATTTTCACAAAAATCCCTGTTTTTCCCCTTCAACATCGCTTATTTTCATAGGAATCCCTGTTTTTAACCCTAAATATCACTTATTTTCCAACAAATCCCTGTTTTTAACCATTAAATATCGCTGATTTTCACAGAAATCCCTGTTTTTCCCCTTAAATATCACTTATTTTCACAGAAATCCCTGTTTTTAACCCTAAAATATTGCTTATTCTCATAGAAATCTTTGTTTTTAACCCTAAAATATCGCTTATTTTTACAGAAATCCCTCTTTTGACCCCTGATATATCGCTTATTTTCATAGAAATCCCTGTTTGTAACATTAAATATCGCTTATTTTCATAGAAATCCCTTATTTTAACCCTAAAATATCGCTTATTCTCATGGAAATCCCTGTTTTTAATCCTATAATATCGCTTATTCTCATAGAATTCCTTGTTTTTAATCCTAAAAAATCACTTATTTTCATGCAAATCCCTGTTTTTAACCCCAAAATATCGCTTATTTTCACAGAAATCCTTGTTTATACCCTTCAATATCGCTTATTTTCATTGAAAACCCTCTTTCTACCCTTAAATATCGTTTATTTTCATAGAAATCCCTATTTTGAACCCAAAAATATCGCTTATTTTCAAAGAAATCCCTGTTTTTCCCCTTCAATATCGCTTATTTTCATAGAAATCCGTTTTCCCCTTCAACATCGCTTATTTTCATAGAAATCCCTGTTTTTAACCCTAAAATATCACTTATTTTCATAGAAATCCCTGTTTTTCCCCTGAAATGTCGCTTATTTTCATAGAAATCCCTGTTTTTCCCCTTAAATATTGCTTATTTTCATAGAAATCCCTGATTTTAACCTAAAACACCGTTTATTTTCATAGAAATCCCTGTTTTTCCCCTTCAAATATCGCTTATTTTCACAGAAATCCATGTTTTTCCCCTAAAAAATCACTTATTTTCATGCAAATCCCTGTTTTTCCCCTTAAATATTGCTTATTTTCATAGAAATCCCTGTTTTTCCCCAAAGTATCGCTTATTTTCTTAGAAATCCCTGTTTTTCCCCTTAAATATCGCTTATTTTTATAGAAATCCCTGTTTTTCCCCTGAAATATCGCTTATTTTCATAGAAATCCCTGTGTTTAACCTCAAACATCACTTATTTCCAAGAAATCCAAGAAATATTGCTTATTTTCATAGAAATCGCTTTTTTTCTCTAAAATATCGCTTATTTTCATGGAAATCCCTGTTTTTATCCTCAAATATCTCTTATTTTCATAGAAATCCCTGTTTTTAGCCTAATATGTCACTTGTTTTCAAAGGTGTCACTTACCCCAGTCCAAGAATCAGGGCGCAGACATTACAGCAACTGAGGGGGTGTCAAAATGCGAACAGCATCTGGCAGGGTACTTGGCAAATGGGGAAAGCATGAAGATACCTTTATGTCCAGGAACGCCCACACCTTTACCAGGAACAGGACATGCTCTCTGCGGAACCATAGACCTCCCAAAATGCCTGCTAGGTCCGGTGGTGGAGTCGCCAATCCTACAAAGAAAGAAGAAAGCCTCACACGCCGTCCTCAACAAAGTGGGTTAGAAAAGAAAGGTGGGCATTGGACAAACCCCAAGACGAGGACAGCACTCAGCAGAAGCCTGTTTAGGAGATACCTCTTCTTTTGGCACCTCACTTGGTCACAAGTGTGCCCGGGGGTCATGGGAACTCCAGCGAGGCACTGCCAGGCAACATGGAAAAAAGAGAAGAGAAACAGAACACACGTGTAGCAAATACTACAGGAGCCAAAATGAATTGAACCTGCCATTTATTGAGAGCAAAAAGAAAAAAAAGAAGAGAGACAGAATAAAAGTGTAGCAAATGCTATGGAAGCCAAAAGGAATCGAACCTTCCTTTTGTTGAGAGGAGCAGGTGGCACTGACATCCCATCAGTACTGGGCAGAGCTGAGCATGGGGAGAGGAAGAACACCCGGTGACAGCAACATGAGCACGAGGGACAAGCGACACCAAGCCCCAAAGGACCTCAGCGAGCGTGTGAAACAGGAGACGGCAGGGATCCACGTACCTTGGCGCAGAGCCTCAGGAGCGGACACTGGCATCCACCAGCGGCTGTGCTTTCCTGCTGCATCCAACAAAGTCTTTCTCGCAGTCCTCACGCTGCTTAGAAGAGCAAGCCGTGTCCGGAACCTCGAGCCGAACAGAATGCGACGAGCAAGGAGCTGGGCATCAATCTCAAGGCCAACAAGTCGGTCCCTCCCAAACCTCACTGCTCACCCAACCTCACTGACACCAGAAGCCCAGGCACACATCTGAGCCCTGCGATTCCCAGCCCTTAAATGAGCTCAGGCTGGGCTCTGGCTCCACCCACTCCCACCCCCGGCTTCATCGCACCCACCTGGGCTTCCACCCTGCTGCTGCCATCCTGCACCAGCTTGTCCATCATTCCTTCACTCTCTTCTGTAACAGGATGAGGGGGAAGAAAGGAGAGAGAGAGAGCAAAGAGGAAAAAGGGAATAGGGGACAGCAGAGAAAAAAAAAAAAAAAAAAGGGGGATGGGGAAAAAAGGGGAAAAATGGGGTACAGGGACAGAAGAAAGGGGACGTGAGGTGGGGGGGGAAGCGGAGCTGGGGATGAAGAAGAGGAAAGGGGAAAAAAGAACAGGGGAATGTGAAGAGAAATAAGGATGGGGGGAGAAAAAGGGGGCAAAGAGTGCAAGAAGAGATGAGGGAAGGCGGGGAAAAGGGCGGGATAGCTGGAAGTGCATGAGAGGACAAAAGAAAAAGCGAGAGAGGAAAAAAAGGAAAAGGGGAGCAAGGGAGGAAAAAGGGAAAAGTGGGACGAATTAGGAAAACAGGAAAAGGGGGAGGAGGGTGGAATCAGGGCCGTCGCACTCAGCAGCGCTGTCCTGCTGCTGTGCCATTAATTTCTCTCGGATCCTGTACCCGTGGATCGGTGCCACCTGCCTTCGGGAATGGCAAAACTGGAGCCTTAGGGGGCGACACAGAACCCCAAAAGACCACTCTTCACCAAGGTTTGGATTACAGCCTTATCAGAGGCTATAAGAGGCTGGTGGAGGTGGGACGGTGCTGTCGATAACCAATGAGAGAGTGGCTGGGGCGGCACAGCGCTGCCGATGACCAATGAGAGGCACACGGGGGCGGCACAGTGCTGTCGATGACCAATGAGTGGCACACAGGGGCGGGATGCTTCCGCCGATGACCAATAAGACGCTGGCAGGGGTGGAACGGTGCTACGGATGACCAATGAGACGCTGGCAGGGGCGGGACTGTGCTGCCGATGACCAATAAGATGCTGGCAAGGGCGGGACGGCACTGCCGATGACCAATGAGAGACTGGCCGGGGAGGGATGGCGTTGCAAATGACCAATGAGAGTCTGGCAAGGGCAGAAAGGCTCTGCCGACGACCAGTAAGACACTGGTGGGGTCAAGACTGCGCTGCCGATGACCAATAAGACGGCTGACGAGGGCGGGACGGCGCTGCCGATGACCAATAAGACGCTGGCGAGGGCGGGACGGTGCTGCCGATGACCAATAAAATGCTGGCGAGGGCGGGACAGCGCTGCCGATGACCAATGAGAGGCTGGTGAGGGCGGGACGGCGCTGCCACTGACCAATGAGAGGCTGGAGGGGTAGGACGGTGCTGCCGATGACCATTGAGAGGCTGGCGAGGGCAGGATGGCACCACCAATGACCAATAATACAGTGGCGGAGGCGGGACAGCGTTGCCATTGACCAATGAGAGTCTGGCGAGTATGGGACAGTGCTGCCAATGACCAATGAGAGGCTTGCAGGGGTGGTACTGTGCTGCCAATGACCAATAATGTGCTGGCAAGGACGGGACAGCGCTGCCGATGACCAATAAAATGCTGGTGAGGGCGGGTCGGTGCTGCCGATCACCAGTGAGAGGCTGGTGAGGGCAGGACAGCGCTGTCACTGACCAATGATACGCTGGCAGGGGCAGGACGGAGCAGCCGCTGACCAATGATAGGCTGGCAGGGCGGGATGACGTTGCCAATGACCAATGAGAGGCTGGCAAGGGCAGGACGGCGCTGCCAATGACCATTGAGAGGCCTCCGAGGGCGAGACTGCGCTGCCAATGACCAATAAGATGCTGGCGAGGGCGGGACGGTCCTGCCTATGACCAATGAGAGGCTGGTGGGGGGGGGACGGAGCAACCACTGACCAGTGAGAGGCTGGCGGAGGTGGGACAGTGCTGCTGATGACCAATGAGAAGCTCGCGAGTGAGGGATGGAGCCGCCGATGATAATACAGTGGCGAAGGTGGGAAGGCGTTACCCATGGCCAAGGAAAGACTGTCGAGGGCGGGACAGAGCTGCCAATGACCAAAGAGAGGCTGGTGGGGGGGAGTTGGAGCAGCCACTGACCAGTGAGAGGCTGGCAGAGGCGGGGCAGTGCTGCCGATGACCAATGAGAGGCTCGTGAGTGAGGGATGGAGCTGCCGATGTCCAATAAGATGCTGGCCGAGGTGGGACGGCGTTGCCCATGGCCAATGAAGACTGTCGAGGGCGGTACAGTGCTGCCAATGACCAAAGAGAGGCTTGCAGGGGCGGGACTGTTCTGCCGATGACCAATAAGATGCTGGCAAGGTTGGGACACCGTTGCCAATGACCAATGAGACGCTGGCGAGGCCGGGATTGCATTGCCAATGACCACTGAGGGTCTGGCGAGTATGGGACAGTGCTGCCAATGACCAATGAGATGCTGGTAAGGGCAGAACGGCGCTGCCGATGACCAATATGACGCTGGTGAGGGCGGGTCGGTGCTGCCGATGACCAATGAGAGGCTGGTGAGGGCGGGACAGCGCTGCCACTGACCAATTTTAGGCTGATGAGGACGGGACGGCATTGCCAATGACCAATTTTAGGCTGGCAGAGGAGGGATGGCGTTGCCAATGACCAATGAGAGGCTGGCAAGGGTAGGACAGTGCTGCCGATAACCAATAAAATGCTGGCAGGGGCGAGACTGCACTGCCAGTGACCAATGAGAGGCTGGCAGGGGCAGGACAGAGAAGCCGCTGACCAAGGAGAGTCTGGTGGGGATAGGACGGCGCTGCCGATGGCCATTGAGAGGCTGGCGGGGGCGGGACAGTGCTGCCAATGACCAATGAGAGGCTCGCGAGGGTTTGATGGTGCTGCCGATTACCAATAATACGGTGGCGGAGGCGGGACGGCATTGCCATTGACCAATGAGAGTCTGGTGAGTATGGGACAGTGCTGCCGATGACCAATGAGAGGCTGGTGAGGGGAGGACAGCGCTGCCACTGATCAATGATTGGCTGGCAGGGGCGGGATGGCATTGCCGATGATCAATGAGAGGCTCATAAGGGTGGCACAGCGCTGCCTATGGCCAATGAGAAGCTGGTGTGGGCGGGACGGAGCAGCCGCTGACCAATGAGAGGATGGTGGGGGCGGGACGGTTCTGCCGATGAGCAATGAGATGCTGCTGGGAGCGGGACAGCGCTGTTGATGACCAATTACTGGTTGGCAGGGCTGGGATGGAGCAGCCGATGACCAATGAGAGACTGACGGGGGCGGAACAGTGCTGCCGATGACCAATGAGAGGCTCGCCAGTGAGGGATGGATCTGCCGATAACCAATAAGACGCTGGCGGAGGTGGTACGGCGTTGCCCATGGCCAATGCAAGTCTGTCGAAGGTAGTACAGTGCTCCCAATGACCAATGAGAGGCTTGCATGGGAGGGACTGTGCTGCCCATGACCAATAAGATGCTGGCAAGGGCGGGACAGCGCTGCCAATGACCAATGATACGCTGGAGAGGCCGGGATTGCATTGCCAATGACCAATGATAGTCTGGTGAGTGTGAGACAGTGCTGCCAATGACAAAAGAGATGCTGGTAAGGGCAGAACGGCGCTGCCGATGACCAATAAGATTCTGGCGAGGGCGGGTCGGTGCTGCCATTGACCAATGAGAGGCTGGTGAGGGCGGGACGGCGCTGCCGATGACCATTGAGAGGCTGGTAGGGGCAGGATGGCGTTGCCAATGACTATTGAGAGGCTGGCAAGGGCAGGACGGCTGGCGATGACCAATAAGACAATGGCGAGGGCGGAACGGTGCTGCCGATGACCAATGAGAGGCTGGTGAGGGCGGGACGGCGCTGCCGATGACCATTGAGAGGCTGGCGGAGGCGGGACAGTGCTGCCGATGACCAATGAGAGGCTGGTGAGGGTGGGATGGCGCTGCCACTGACCAATGAGAGGCTGGCAGGGGGGGGTTGGCGTTGCCGATGATCAATGAGAGGCTCATAAGGGTGGGACAGCGCTGCCTATGGCCAATGAGAGGCTGGTGTGGGCGGGACGGAGAAGCCGCTGACCAATGAGAGGCTGATGAGGGCGGGACGGCGCTGCCACTGACCAATGATAGGCTGGCAGGGGCGGGATGGCGTTGCCGATGATCAATGAGAGGCTCATAAGGGTGGGACGGTGCTGCTGATGACCAATGAGAGGCTGGTGTGGGAGGGACGGAGAAGCCGCTGACCAATGAGAGGCTGATGAGGGCGGGACGGCGCTGCCACTGACCAATGATAGGCTGGCAGGGGCGGGATGGCGTTGCCGATGATCCATGAGAGGCTCATAAGGGTGGGACGGTGCTGCTGATGACCAATGAGAGGATGGTGGGGGCGGGACAGTGCTGCCGATGACCAATGAGAGGCTCGCGAGTGAGGGATGGAGCTGCTGATGATGAAAAAGATGCTGGCAGAGGTGGGACGGCGTTGACCATGGCCAATGAAAGACTGTTGAGGGCGGTACAGAGCTGCCAATGAGCAATGAGAGGCTTGCAGGGTCGGGACTGTACTGCCCATGACCAATGAGAGTCTGGCGAGTATGGGACAGTGCTGCCAATGACCAATGAGAGGATGTTGGGGATGGTACTGCCGATGAGCAATGAGAGGCTGGTGGGTGCGGGGCAGCGCTGTTGATGACCAAAGAGTGGTTGGCGGGGCGGGGACAGTGCTGCCGATGACCAATAAGACGCTGGTGAGGGCGGGACAGTGCTGTTGATGACCAATGAGAGGCTGGCGGAGGTGGGACGGCATTGCCACTGACAAATGAGAGGTCGACGAGGGATGGACGGCGCTGCCGATGACCAATTAGACGCTGGCGGAGGCGGAACAGTGTTGCCACTGACCAATGCGACGCCGGGTCTAGGTGAGCTCATCCTGTCGCAACGAGCTGTTGACAGGACTGTAGATGATCTGTGCAGGCAGACCAGAGGTTGGGACCCACAAATGGACAAAGCCGGAGGAGAGAGGTGTTAGGTAGCAGCCAAGGCATCACAGTGCATGCAAAAGTCCTGATTGGCATCACAAAGCCACCGCCAGGAAGCTTGGGGTTATCACGAGCAGCATCCAAGATGCTAGAGATTATTTCCTACAGTACCGTCTGCGAGCTGCAGACAGCCCGAAGGCAGACAAAACGGAACTAACCCAGAGCTCTGCTTCATGCACCCCACGGCATCAGCATTGCACGCTGAGGTGTCTTGCTGTTTGTTGCATTCATCCCAGCCCTCGTGAATGAAGACTACAGGCAGTCAATTGTTGACTAAGCACAAGCGCGCTTTTATTATTGAAGGAAAAGACAGGAGGGCGTGAGAGGTTCAGGTAAAGATTGGAAATCGTCCTCTCTTGAGTGGAACGCTCAGAGAGAGAGTGGCTCAGAGATCTCAGAGCCGCTGCGCGGTG